AAACATTGTCAATAGCAGAATCCCTACTCTGCTTTTTATCAATGATAAGAATTCTTCTTGCTGTCCTTTGCCTTCCTACTTTTCCTATGGAGAGTCTGATTTTAAGGAAACAGAGAACACTGGGGTCACATTCCTGTGAAAAATGTTCATCAAAGCTAAAACTGTGGAGTCAGCAGGTCCTAGGCAAAATACATAGGAAGATAATGCTCTTCTGCTTGGGGTGAGGAAGAAAAGCTCATTTTCTTGTGGTGCTTGCTATCTGAGGTTCTATTTGTTTGGGAGGTTCTATGCTTTTATTTATCAAAGAAACCTGTAAAAAGAAATTATCCAAGATGATCTCTTGCATAAAGGATATGAGGCAACTTATCACTTGTAATGACAAGACCTTCTGCTTCTTTTCCATGCTCTGGTATATTTTTGTGCAAGTTCCTAGCACTTGTCAGCAAATCTCAAAAATGTCCTGAGTAGCAAAACGTTCATTTGTGCGGACTATATCTTAATTATATACAGCTATGTCAATTTTTGGAGGCAGAGAAATCCAAGTACAGAGAAATAATCAGTAGGATACTGGATAGTAATGACAAACAAAACCTTTAAACATGAAATTACTACCACATTAGGAGTTTCTTGATTTAGGATCCTTGTGGTACCTTACGTTCTCAATTCACTGGGCACATTTATTGCTAATATCAGGGGAACAGAAACCAGAACTCTGGTTCTTAAGCTCTGCAATCACATTGATCACTACATTATTACTACTAGTAGTATTATTACTGATGATTCATTTTTTGACCAGAGTTGATCCATTTTTGTTTCTAAGGAAAGGCCACTAGGAAAGTGGGCTTTAGCCTATGACTATGGATAATGTGATGTCCTCAATATTCACGCTCAAAAGAAAATACCAATGCTGTTGTGCAGAGAAGACAGAATTGTCTGTCCTTTGTTACCAGTTAGTCATGAATTACTGATGCAGGGCATTACATAGCCCATGGTATTGGAGATGGACATACATCCAGTATCCTTACTCATAATCCCCATATTTTATGGCAGATTTACAAACAAGAAAGAAACCTGTTCATGTAAGTTGGTTTCCCTGTGTAGGAATATGTGGAAGCCACATTTGGAAAATATTAAATTTGAAGAAGTCCATACATCTTTAAAACTTGTAGTGGAGTATACTTCTGGATACTCAGTGCTCTATTTCATAAAAAAAGTGTATGATGCTGGACAGATTCTTATAGGCCAAACATAAAATGGCACTTTAAGTGAATATAGTAAAAAATGTGGACATGAAAACAAAGTGGATTTTCAAATGGAAAATGCTATTTTGTGAAAACTAGCTGTCTTTTGTTGTTTTCCAAATTAAGCACTTTCACACAATGTACTGAAAAATCTTAAACACTTATTGGCCAAAATAAATATACAATCTACTAATAGTTTCAAAATACACTATTCTAACTTTTACTTTTCTTCCTAATCGCTGCAAGATATTCTCTTCAGAGATCTAGAAATAAAGTCCTCCTATTTTTTATGCCACATCACGTGAAGTGGCACTGTAGCCCTTCTTTGCATTGCTCTGACAATGTAATTCAAGTTTCATGGGTAATTAATTCTCCATGCCAAAGAGTCCTTGAACTGACTGTTACAATACTAGCAGCATAAAACCAAGTAAAGATCCGAGTTTTCAGATTTTGTGCCCTGAAAGATGAGTACAAACTATGAATTTGTGCTCCTGTGGAACAACAAAACAAAAGAATCACTGAAAGAAAAAATTACATCCAGATGAGGAAAAATAGTTTATTTGGATTTCTCTGGTTCATTTATCTACTGACTATGTTTCAGTTGTCATAGGTATGTTCTATAAGAAATTTAAAGCATAATTTAAATTTTCTAAATAGCACATATACAAATTAGGATTAGCACTTGCATACTTGGCTAGAGCAAAGTATTTTATAGTACTATCTTGATTTCTGAACACTGCACAAACCATTTTAAGTTTACTTCCCCATGTGAATTTGAAAATGTCCCTTTTAGAATTTCTTCTATTTCTGTCTGTTTCTCAGGACAAATTACAGTGTCTGTAGGGGCACTTGTAGACTATCAGCCAATATCCAACACAAACATTGCAGCTTTGTCTTCCCTATCAAGCCTGTATTTTGACAGTTTTCTTTACTTCATTTCCTTCTAGGACAGGGAAACAGGCTGTAAGAGGACAAGTTGTCAAAGATCATCTTTTAACAAAAATTTGTCATATACAAAACTGAAATAATTATGAGCAACAAAAGGTTGCGTTACTGTGCTCTTGTGCAAGAACCATTCAAAGAAACTTGGGACATTAGTTTTATGAGTGTAGATCAGTCCTAATATTTTATTTTATTCATCAAGGGGAAAAAATAGAGTTAGAAAAGGAACACTTCATGCTCTTTTTCCTAGAAAAGAATTGCCTAAGGTGGCCCTAACTTGCTAAAGCAAAAGGATGTTTTTAAAACCTAGCTAATATAGCCCAAAGAGCGTGAAATGAAGAATACTTGTTAATGTTCATTTGGATTAGCATAAATTTTATTAGCACTAAGAAGTAATTGTCAGACTCTTGGAGTTTCCTACTGTGGGGGATTATTCAAACACATTGGTGCCAATGTTTGCTCAGTGCAGTCAGGATGACTGCGCTTTCTGGGTCAACATTGTCTGAAAAAGTTTGCCGTACAGTACAACTGAGGTAAGAAACTAAACACTGAGTCTCACTTCATGTAGCCTTTCATGCTTTGTGAGGTGAGTCAAAGTTTTGCTATTTAAAGATCAGACATTTAGTTAAATTGTATTTCTACTTTTGCATCAAGAGCATGTGGTGTCTGGTGTCTATCAGAAAGCTGACTTCTCCAGTAACCCTGATCTTTGGGGCTTTTGTCAGCTTTTAAGTGACTTAGCACAAATGCATGGAAATTGAAGTATTTTTAGAAGCCAGTCCAGACTAATTACAGACTTCCAGTCTACTTATCTGAATGTTTCTGTAATCACTGAAATGGCAATTTAAATTTTAAATGCCGATCCCTTGTATTGGCTTTGCAGTACTCTGTTAGTTGGAGGCTGGACTGTTGGTGCAGAGACAATGAAAGACAAGATTTCTCTGCAACAGACACTTGGATTTTCCTTTTAAAGACATTCACACTCTTCTGGTGTAATTACAGCCTGCCAGAGTGAGGAGCATGAAACTGTTTAGCTTGCGAAGCTTAAAATAAAAGGTGTATGTGAAAACAAGAACATGATCCTTTTTCTAGCAGTCCAGCACCAAGTCCCATCCCCTCCCTCTCCTGTGGCTTCTTCCCCTGAAATTTAGAGCACCTTCCTATTCACGCATTTTTAGGTGAGTGATGGGGCCCTTTTTGTCTTCTGTGTTGCTCTCATTAAATTATTTCTACTTATTAATCTGTTTGTAGTTAATGTTGTATGTCTGGATATAAAGTCTCGGGTGTGGGTGCACAGATGTCCTTGAGAATTATGCTCCATTCTAATTATATACTATGCACCCCTGTTCCCATGCAGGCTTCCTCTTGGGCAGACCTCTTGAATGTTCTTGGCCTCAGGTGGTTTTGTGGGCATTTTTATTGACCGATGTCACCTTGTTTTATCCATAGACCCAAAATAAAAACAGAAGGAATGTATGTGGCAGGTCAATACCCTGGAGGAAACAGGCATGACTCCGCAGTTCCTTTCCCAGCCCCTTCCTTTTTGCCCCTAGATATCCCCTCCCTTCCCTTGTGTAACAGGATGGTTTTGCAGAGCTTCAGTCGGTAATGCCAAAAAGGTTAAAGTGTAAGTGACTGCCCATTCCTCCCCAGGCCAATCAGTCATTTTCAGTTGCAGGCTTAAATCTGCTGCAGCAAAGCCAAGCCTCTGTGCTTGCATCAGGTCTTACAAAAGCAGGGCTGTTTGACTGACAGGCACGGAGAGGGGGTTCTGATAACGTACTGAGCTGAGTCTGGAAGCGGAGTATCAAGGACAAGGCTGTGCCAGAGGTACTGTGCATTATGGATGAGGCACTAAGGTCAGTCGTTGATTGATTGAGGGACAGTTACGCTCTTTCACAATGCTGGGTAAGATCATCTGGACTGTCACTTAATATGAGCTTTCTGGTCAGTGGGAAGATGACTTTTCACATAGTGTTCCAATGCAGATTGCGAACGACAGCATGCTCTCCCCTTCTGCTTTTTAGTTGCTCATGCAGGTGAGTTAACCTAAAATAGTTTTATCACTTGTCAGGTGTCATATGCTGGAATTAACTCTTATTCTCAGAATCGCAGGCTGACTATAAATGTCGGAAAAACACATGTGTTTGATGACACGAGACATATGTCCTTTATCTCTAGCAGCCAAGGTGCCATATAACCACTGCATAGGTATGGTATTAAATTAAGTAGGGGAGCTGGGAGGAATGCAAATTTTTTCTACTCTTTTCTTTTAGGACAGAACAAGAAACTGTAACAAACAGTTCTGGAGACTTTGAAGTACAGCCACAGTACTGAGGTCTTTGACTGACAAGCCTTCTGCTTTCTCCTTCTTACAGGGCTCCTCCTACAGATGTTCTGAACACGTCTGCACCTTGGCAATTTTTCACTGCATCCAGGTACTGAATATAAGGAACAAGCTGCATAAAAAGAAGCGTGGGTTGTAGGAGAAGGAGCACTGTGAGGAGAATACCAGAAGTCATGCCTATACAAAGTGCAGGCAGTGGTATGACTTCAAGCAAAAATTATTTGAGAAAGGGTAGTTGCAGAATAACTCAGTTTATTCTTAGGAAATGACAGAATAAAGCTCTTATTCAACAATATGGCTTATAATCATGTTAAATGGTATGTGTCAGGCTTGACTTCCCTAAGTGTCATCATTTCAACTGTGTGACTGGGAGTTTATTTATTGCTTGAACAGAATTTCTTTTCCTCCCTACAGGTCTTGAAAATTAGAGCTCAGGCACTTCTGGACCAGTCTTTTCATCGAAATACTGGAACTACTATGAAGTCTTTTTGGCTTGTACTCATCTTGGCAGTGCTCAGTACTGAATTGCTAACAAGTCACTGTTCCACCATCAAGTCCCCGAGGTTCAGAGGACGTGTGCAGCAGGAGCGAAAAAATATCAGACCAAATATCATCCTGGTACTCACAGATGATCAAGATGTGGAGCTAGGTGAGAAATAATTGTTATTTGCTACCTCATTTCATCACATGTCTTTCAGTAACTTCTGGCAAGCAGAAAGTACTTTAAATTCAGAGAAGGTACTGGTCCTGGAACAATATCAGAATGTGGGAAAAGTTTGGAAAATGAGTTAACAAATATTATTTAATAGCATTCATCACATTTAATTACAGACTTTAGGAAATACATACTTATCAAAATCTGCCATGGAAGGCTTTAATCACCATCATAAAAGTATTTAATAATACATGCAAGGACACACAGGTAAAAAACTTACATCAAAAGCCTTTTTTCACTTTGTGACTTTCTGTAGTGCTTAAAAATTTGAGCCTTATGAGGTTAACCTTTCCCTCAGTGCTGTATAGGTGAGTATCTATATTCTCCACATATTTGTCAATGCATGCGTGCCATCCGACATGTTTATGCACACAGACAAATTGGTGTGGTTTCAGGACATAAGCTTAATATTTCTATGAATTATTAAAGTGTTTAAAATTCATCTGCTTTAAAACTATGCTATATATATAAAAATAGGATAGTTTTGCTTTCACAAGTATGCTAAATATCTGAGCACAACCTGGACATACCAGCCAGAAGTGATTTTTACATATTTTTCTTAGGGTGGATAAAGTTAAAACACTTGGATGATGTTCCAAGAGGCCTTTGAATGTTTTTCATTAAGTCAGTTAGAATGATATTAATGGTAGTTATGCATATAACTGATTTTTTGGTTCACTGCCCAAAGTCAAAAATCAAGGAGAGAAACAGGATCATTTTAGGCTACCCTCAAGCAAATATTTTAGTTTTGGGGGTGGGAGGTAAGATCAAAAAGGTGAAAAAACAGCAAATCAATTTGAAATGAAATCTTGCATTCTAAGTGTTTTTTAATGAAAGACATGTTTTTAATAAAAGTATGTTGAATTTCTAAACAAAATGCCATATGATATTGAAAATCAAAATGCTTCATTCTAGAAAACTTATAACAAAATAGTTCATTTGTTCTAAAATTATACATTGTGGAGTCCCCATCCCTGAAGCTATTTAAGAGTTGTGTAGACATAGTGCTTAGGGACATGATTTAGTCGGAGACTTGTCAGTGTGAAGTTAATGATTGGACTCGATGATCTAAAAGGTCTTTTTCAATCAAGGCAATTCTGTGATTCTGTGATTTTTGGCCAGAAAGCTGTAGACAAAAAGTGGTCTAGACCTAAAAGCAACTCTTCAGTTGCTAAAATTTTTGTATTTGTCATGATGCAATAGTAATTTGCACAGTCCTTCAGGGTTGTGAGAACATAATTAATAAAATGTATTTCATGGCTGAGGTAGTACTTTTATGCAGCACATCTCCAAGACCAGGCCTTTAGATCTGAGCACATCTTATCTTTTTTATTTCTCACTCTTTCAAATGTCTGCTCTGTTTAGCCATGCTGTATAATGAATGACTGTTCCTGACTCTATTTTTTGTGCTAAAATACAGCTATTACAATAGGAATGCATTTCTTCTTGATAGAGTTGTTCTGAAAATGTTGTTAAAAGGGTCAAGTCATGTCTTCCTTTCTGTTGTCTGAAGGAGCCTACTTCCTCTAGGGCACTGGGGAAGGTAGGTCAGCAAACTCGTGTCTCTGACCAACATCACCGACTCACTGTCTTCAATCTTGCAAGAGGGTTTGCAAGTGGTGAAAGAGCAGGAAGGATATGGCAAACCACTTTGTTCATATTGTGCAGCTCCTCTCTTTGAAAGCTGCTCTGGATGTTCGCAGGGTGCTCTGGCTCCTATTAGCAAGCAGTTGAGCCATAGCCTGGCTGTGTATGCATTCCCACTGCACTGAATGAAGACACAGGTTTCCCCTTTTCATAGATCATTTCACAGGAAACAGGATTCAGCCCCAAGACTTACTGTGCCACACTATTCGCACTTCTACTAATAAATCATTCTGCTTATCTGAAAAGTAAAGCCATACTGTTTTCCATGTGTGAATTATCCCCTCGCTCTTCAGTGATTCCTGAGAAAAATCTTAAGTTTCCCAAAGGTCAATGGGAAGTAACATTTTCTGCCACAAACAGAAAAAAGCTTAGGCATTGCTATCCAAAAATCACAAAATTGAAAGTCTCTCAATATGGATTATTTGCTATTGTATTCCCAGCACGAACGTTTCTAAAAGCCCTTCTAAATTAATGCTTGAACATAAAAACGTATAAGGTATGTTTTAGACTTCAGTCAGGAAGAATTTGTCTCCAGAGCATGCATAAGCATTGAACCAAAATATACAGCTGCCTGAGTGCAAATGATATACTGGGGAGTTATCCAGAGTAAAATTTGCAAGAGGCAGGGAGCTTGCATTTCATTAGGGTTCAAAGCATAGAACTATGCTCATCTTCCTATTGATTGGCACTATCCCTCCGAGTCTTGCATTCTAAATGCAAAGGAGTTCAGCAAAGCTGCTGTGTCATTCAGCTTATGAAATAAAATCCAAAAGTTCCTCCATGACTCCAGTCAGTTCCTATCTACTCTGAGAGGAACATATCACAGAGGAAGGCTATTATTCATCAGCTGGTGGATGGCAGCTTAAGCGGTACAAAGCAGCTTGTCCCACAGCTCTTGAAGAAATAGCAAATACTTGGGCCCAGAAGCTGTGAAATTACTGGTTAAATTGTCTCTCTCTGTGACTTTTCTTTCCCCCACCAAAATCCTGAGTGTAGAGAAATAACTGCCCAACACTGGGGCAAATGGGCTCAAGGCAAAGCACCAGCTCCCAGAACCCAAAACTGCTGCCCCTGCTCCTACTGCTGCTCTTCAGGGCAGTGGTCTTAGCTCCCTGGAGTTGGGTCTGTACTCTGTTCAGGCATTATTAATACAGGTATTTCCAGCTTTTTACTCACTCTTTAGTCTCTTCCCCTGTCCTCCAGATTCTCTATCATCTACACACATCAGTACCTCAAACTATGATCCCCAATCATTTTGATAATCCTCACTATGAATAATGTCTTGCATAATGTCAGAAAGGAGTTAAAACTAATGAATACATTGGTAGTTCCAGTGTTTCTAACCCAGAGACCTTTGAAATGTCAGAGAACTGAGAAAAGATTTTTTTTTTTTAAAAAAAGGGAAAAATCCATCTGAGATAATTTTTTTTTTTTTTTTTTTTTTTTTGTACCCTTGTTTTTAGCCTAATGCATGACCCAGTGAAATCCATAGAAACATCCACTGAGTACTGCAGTGGGTAAAGAGATCATGGCATCATCTGCATACATCGTATCAGGCATAATTTGCTGATTTGCTTTCCATCTTCACTAAAACTTTCAAACCACTGAAAAGCACAAGCTGAAAAAATGGGGATATGTTCTGGGACCTGAGAAAGTCCATCACCTTTCTGGGGCCTTATGTACAACCCAAATAAAAACAAGGTGGCTTTAGCCATCCCTTTGTGGAGATGCCCACCTGTGATATACCTGGATGAAAATCCAGAGCAATTTTAAATCTTGCTCTGAAACCTTGGTTGCCAAATATATTTCTTGATACATGACAATAGACTGAGGGGCGACACTGAACTTCTTGCCTGACAAAGCTCTCCAACTTCCATGTCCAAAGTGGCTGTTCCCAGTTATCAGGTTCCCCTCAGGTGCTCCCCAATTGGTCGTATAGAGCATGAGTGTCCTGCTGTCAGATGGAGTCTGAATACGTGTGCCCTGAAGACTGTGCGCCAGATAGTAAAAAGCGCAAGCTGGGAGGAGAGCTACAAACAGCAAAGGATTATAACTTATATCAGCACGTTTTATCTCCTACTTATGTTTTTGTTTTCCGAATGAGGAAGTCTCACCTGCTTTGAAGTGCCTATTCCAGAATTTCCAGAGGGGCTGCATCTATTATCAGTGTCAGTAAATGCATACCTGGAGGAAAAACTTACTCATAAACAGCAGGTTTGCAAGAGCAGAGGGCTGACCAGGCAGAGGAATGAGGAAGCGCTCTAACAGCTACTCATTTATAATGCATAGAGGCATGAAAGTGCACATCAGCTCTGCTGCTGTTACTGTGCATTAGTGTACCTGAACAGTGCACTTTCCATCTGAGGACCTACAAGCATTTTACAGCTGAGCTCTCAATAATAAACTGTGACATTTCAAAAATGGGAGAGCTCTGGCAGAAAACCAAACCAAACCAAAAACTAAAAATAAAAAGACAGCCTGGGGTTAGAGATAAAGAGATGTAGAATGAAGATGATCTCTCATTTGACTTTTACTCAAGAACTCAGCTAAATACTAGCACTCATACGAATGGAGACCTTTTGTGTTCAGGGACCTCTCAGTTATGCTTCTACTTCTCTATATCTCTAAATACATGCATTTTGTCTGTGTTGACCTCAGGAAAGCACAAATGCAGATGCTCTGCATTTAAAAGAGAGGGTCTGTGAAAGAGGAAGAGTCCAAAATCATGATGACATATTCAGGGTATTAAATGTAAGACACAGGCATTGGCACTGCACCAGAACTATCTGCCTCTTCCCTCTTAATCAAACAATCTTTATGCAAAAGATTTCACATTCTGTACTGTCTACATAGCCCAAAAGTAAAACAGAGCATGCTTAACTTTAACTAGTAAGATAATTTGTAGGATTTTACTGCTTACATCTAAAGTTGATCCTGGTTGGCACTTTTGTTGTTTTACAGCCATGTCTTTCATTGTTTAAAAACTTTTTTTAAAAATTATTTGGTTTTCAAGTGACCCAAAAAAAACCACCAAGAAAAGCTCTTCCTGTATAAGTGGAATCAAGGAATTTAAATTTAAGCCTACTGCTGTCAACCGTGCAAAATTAATTGTAAAATCAAAGGGAAAAAAAGAAAAAAAAAAAAAAAAGAAAAAAAAAAGAAGTACAATTACAGAAAACTCTTTTTACCATCAAAAATGTGCAAGTATTAAAATTCACAAACTAGTTTCCTGGGTATATACTGACATATCCACAGTTCACCCTCACTGTTCAGTCACTGCTCTGTTGGATTACAGAGAGAGCAAAGTTTGACAGCTGTCAACAAATACTGACAGACCTTATCAGGATCTACTCAGTCTTTCTGCAATCAGAAACCTGCAAGCCCTGCCTGTCTCACCTTGTTGTTCATGAAGATGTTTTGAAGGATGCAAAAAGTGGCTTTGTTCTTCAAACTGAATCAATATAATTCTTGAGAAAAATGCTGAATTTTGACAATAATTTTTGCATACAGATTTATCCCCAAAAGCTGATTTTGAGCATGGTGCTTTAATATTGGAGCTGACCCTGTGTCCACAGAAACTTTCCTCTAGAAAAATTACTGAATTTTTTCTCTCTCCTCCCCTCATCTTTCACGCCCTCTTTTACCTTCTTCCTCTCTCTCTCTGATTATATGATAAAATGGAAAGAATTGTAACAAATTCATTGGTAATCTCAGCATTTTACATATTTTACTGTCACACTGACTAATTATGCAGTCTGTGTAACATAGCGTTGTCCTACAGCCACATTTGAAGAACTATTGACCTATAAATTTGATACAGCTCTATAGTTTTAACACTGTTTTTCTAGATTAGTCTGTACTTAAACTTGTTTTGAAATAACTCAGTCTTTCTGGAATCCTGAAAAATATTTTTGGTGATACAATGAAGATTTAATCTTTCTTTCTAAAAATCTTTCCTAAGCTGCATAGTACAGACGGATATCCTAAGATATGCGAATCGCTGATACTTTACTTTTCATGGCATAAGGGCAGACAATGTATTCTAACTATTTTTTGCAACACAGTGATAATCAGTACCTCTTATTGCAGGCTCCTTGCAAGTGATGAATAAGACCAGACGGATTATGGAGAATGGAGGGGCCACTTTTATCAATGCATTTGTAACCACCCCAATGTGCTGCCCATCGCGTTCCTCCATGCTGACTGGGAAGTATGTGCACAACCACAACATATACACCAACAACGAAAACTGCTCTTCTCCCTCATGGCAGGCTACTCACGAGCCACGTACTTTTGCTGTGTATCTCAATAACACTGGGTATAGAACAGGTAAGAGACAAATCAACAGTAGTTCTTTGTTAAAAGTGATGGTGATGGACATTCAGCAACAGGTCTTAAATTGCTGCCTAAAATGAAGCAACTATTGCCCCAGATTGGGTTTACAGAGCGGTTTAGTGTTATGGAGAGGGAGGGTATTACTGCCTGCTGGTCCAAATCTGCAGCTAGCAGCTGTGTGAAGAAACTCACTTGTAATGGAGCAGCATATTTTCACGTTTGGATGTCCCAGGTGAGGAGCAAGCTGTTTGGCAGTTATACCTAGTGCAAAAGAGATGCACTTTAGTGGCATTGTGGGTCTGAACTGGCAGTTCCAGCCGTGATTATGGTCAGTATTATGGCCTGCTTGTGGACAGCTGCTAACAGTCATGGAAGAAGATGTCAGGGCCAGGCTGGGGACTAGTGCCAAAGACCTCACAGGAGTGAAGTGCTTGTCATGGGAGTGAAACAAGGTGAATGGTATAATTTAAACTTTGCCATGAGGCAATATTTCATTTGCATTTTCTCAAGTGGAATAGAAACATGCCTTTAAGAAGGATTGTTCTGCTGTGCACCAACAAGATTTGATCGTTCTCTTGTAAATTCCTGGTGGCTTTCTGTAGTCAGGAGATCCCTTTCCTGTCCACAAAGAGCTCTTATTCCTCTCGTCTGCATTTCAGCTTGGTATAAAACCTGATTCATTTCTGCATCACCTATCCCCTAAGATTCAATCTGTAGACACGTTAGGCTCCAGCCTGACTTCCCCTTCACAAGGTACAGGAGTTGTGTAAGGTCATCAGGGTGCAATTTGTTCAGAAGTGTCATTCAACTACAAAGACTCCCCTATACAGGACCAACGAGGCACAGATCTCTGTGCCAGCTGCGTTCCTTACAATGTAATTGGCAGCAAAGAAATTTGTCTCTATCAGTGGCTTAGGCACAAGAATGGATCACTTTCAAAACATACAGCAGGCAAATGTCTCCATGCTGTCTGCTTGTCCTAATTTTCTTAATGCTGCTACATCCAATGCCTTAAATTTATCTGCCTGTTTGCCATCTTTTCTTTACCACACAGACAGCTTCTTCTTTTTTCTTCTGTCTCTGTAGTAGTAGGTAGTTCTGGAGACCCATATCCTGTTTAAAAAGCAAAACCAGAAAAATATTTAACTTCTTTGGACCTGGTGTTGGCTCTGACACCTGTGCTGAATAGTCCTTCAGTCTCTATTAAGCTGGTTTCAGTGAAGCTGCTGAGTACAGTGCCACTAAACCTGAGTAAGGGTCAGCGTCAAGGCTTTGGAGGAGAAAAAGAGGGGAGATATAATTGACAATCACTGCTAGAAAAGGAGCTGAATTCATCCTAGAAAATAAGCTTTGTCTCATGGCTTATGTCTCAGAAATCCTTTCTGCTTGATCTACAGTGCTTCATGTGGGACCTGGCTTTCCTGTTCTTAAAAATTTAGTATCTTACTGATCTGTAATCTAATACTTGTACAACTACATGCCTCATGCGTAAACTGGATGGCTCTGTCACTAGCCCTCTCTGCCCTTCTAGGGGTAAACACTCTGCTTTGGGTATATCTTTTGCACTGCCTTGTTTTATAGAGAGATGTCTACTAAATGCAGACTTGGCTCTGTTAAATGGAAAGGAAAAAGGGGTGAAAAGAAAAGGAGAAGGAAAAAAAAAATCCCTTTCCAAAGGCAGGCAGAGAGAACAGTCTTAAAACTGTCAGGGTAGGTGAGTTTTGACAAGGGGTGCGAAGGAGAAAAAGTAAATAGAAACAAATGAACATACTTGTATGAAAACTCCTATTCTGACCAAGGTGCATTGTTTGATTCTATAATAAAATGGCCCCAAAGAATTTGTCCATTTACTCCTTGTAAGATGAGCTTACCTTCTAATTACCCCACAATTATTTTTTACGGAGCAGCTTAATTAACAACAGATTTTATAATACATTTTTCAAGGACAGTGTTACCTCATTAAAAAGTCATCAAAAGTCCAGTCACCAACTAATAATCTACACTTCACAGCTAGAAATTTTAGTAAAATTGTAATGACTCAAGAATACTTAGTAGTCAAGAATAATTGGGAGAGAAAAAGAAGGAACTGGGGAGAGAGAGTGACCACATGCCACACAGACTAGTTGTGACCCTGTGCTGACAGAGCAGATGCTGTGGGTATTTACCCTGTGCTTTTCTGCATGTTTTGAGAGGAAACCAGTATCAATCTTAATGGGAAACTGTGGCAGAGAAAGAGAAGTGGTCCACTCACAGTTTGGTGACAGTTCTGATAAGGCACTGCTCCAAAGAGCTCCAGTCCAGATGAGACAATGTGCAGTATTTCTAACCTGGTTCTCTGTTTGAAATTATGAGGATTTAGCTCTCATTTTTTGCATAGGATCAAGTTATTACATAAACTGGTGGAAATAAGGGGGTGGAGGAGTGTTTATATAATGTCCTTACTTCTGTTCACTCCAAATAGTTTCCAACATTTATAAAGCATCCGCTGTCTAAACGTGCTGCAGCCTTAACTAAACCCTCTATACTGGAATTGATCACATGTGGGCAGGCTGCTGATGTTCCTGCTGAAGCCATGAGGACTCAACGCAAGCACAGCAGGCCATTTAAAGAGAGGTCTGAAATGTGCTCTAATAAACTGCAGTCATAATTAGAGCCCACTGGGAAAACCTGGCAGAGAATGGAATGGTTTGGGTTTTTTTCCTTTTTCTATTTCACTCTTTCTACTTCTGTTCTACTCTCACGTGACCTATTGGAAATGTTGCATGTCATGGAAAGATCCTTTTTTGATTATTATATGTCAGTGCTAAATCCTAGAGAGGAACTGTGCTGGGTGCTAGTGGGGCAGACAGTATTCAGAAGTAACACTACCAAAGCAAAATCTCTTTTGCTTCTAATTATTGTTTAAAAAAATCCCCAAACAATTAAGAATGTTTCAATGTTTACTCTTTCTCTTACTCACAAGCTGTATGCTAATGCAGCAATAAGTCAACTGCACAGCTTCCTGATTGTTGAAAGTCTACAAAATTGGTAATATTAAACTAGAATTTGTAGGAAATAGCAGGGAAGACACACTGAATAGGTATAAAGAGAAAACAAAGCAACTTCAGAGAGGTGAGACATTTGTTTTAATTACATAGGCTCCAGCTGCTTATACTGGGGAGGAAATCATTGTAATCACATTCCAATTTTGTGGAAATTGTGCTAAAATCTTGAGAAGTTTTCTTTCATTTTGTAATTTTTAATGTCAATAGACATCCCTTCAGCCATTTAGATTCAGAAACTTTATTCTTAAGATTATTAGATGCAGGATTTAAAGGTTTTGTTTTGGGCTTTCCAAAGTATTGGCTGGTTATTTCCTGTTCTTCCAGTCCTCCCTGCCGTACTGTTGAAGTCTCTTTCTTTCTTTGCATTCTACTGTTCTATCCCAGCCCTACAGCACGTAGGTATTCTTGAGTCATTACAATTTTACTAAATTTTCTAGCTGTGAAGTGTAGATTATTAAATGAAACTTCAGCCTTGCCTCTGAGATGTGCTTTTCGGTGTTGTCAGTTCACACTGCCACTCACCTACACAAACACAAAGGAGAACTCCAGGAGTACCTCGACCTTGGCCTCCTCCAGAAGGAAAGGAGGATTGTGCTACATCTTAATAACCAAGGAGTAGCCGAGCATTATCTTACTATTTCAGAACAGAGATCCATGACAGCAGCACAGACAATATGCAGGAGACACAAGTGCAACAGTCTTACTGTTAAATGTACACTGCAGGAGTTTACATTTTTACCAGCTGAAGTTTCATCCCTTTGCAAATATGAAGAGAAATGTGAGTTTAATATTCTCACTCTGATTTAACACGCATAAGCACGAAACAGAGCCCTCTGCTTAGTGTTACTGTGTAGAATTACCACCTTCTAATCCTCGCTCCTCTTAGCCCTTCACAGCTGACTTAACTGTGCAGGAGAGAACAGGAGTCTGCCTTGGCTCAGCAATGGCTGACAGCCTCACAACAACACAGCAAACTCGGGACCTGGCTCCCTCCTTGTGGAATCCCACCTGAAAGAGTAGAGATCACCAAATTAGGCAATTATTTGCTTACATTTTTTTTAGAATTGCCTTTGGGAATATGTATTTCCCAATATTTGATTTCTTGCTCAGAAGTATCAACTGATCAGAATAACATTCAGGATTCACTCATGCAAATGTCCCAATGGCATTCTCAGCCTTTTGTGGGACAAAAATGGTAACATAACAGAGTTGAGCAACTCAAACATTAACTTCTAAATGCTTGCATTTGTAAAACTAGAAACTCAAGAAGTGACTGGACATCAGGATGTCACTATCTGACATGTTTTGCCATTAGTCACAGACATCTGTGTGGTGATGAACAGAAATGGTCAATTGCTTGACATCTAGTTAATATGTTGAACAGTTCACGTCAGCTTCTGAAGCGTGTCCTTTGACATCTGTCAGTTACGGGTACATTTCTTAGTGTAGTGACCAAAGAACTAATAAAATGCCGAGATGACAAGAGACTGAAAGCTAAGAAGTATTTAAACTGTGCACCATTCCATTCTGATGCACAGGGACAAGTTAATCTTTCATAAAGGGAGCAAAAGCTATGCCTTCTGAAGGTGTGGGCAGCCAATAAGTCTCCTCTGGAGGCAAAGCCAGTGTATTTCCTGTTCACAGCCTTACAGTACAATTCACTGCCAGCACATGCTATTTTTAATCTGCATCATTTCAGTGACCTAATTTGTATCTTTCTTCATGCACCATTTCAAAACAGAGAGAGTGACAGAATATGATACAGGGGTGGGAGTGACTGTGCAGGGAGTGAGCCCTGGTTTTCAGAATATTTTTGAAGTTAAATAAAGGGAGAGGGAGAGAGAGAGAACTCCAAGTGTTCGGGGTCTTTCTTAATTGGTCTAAAAGAGGCTAGGGAGCATCAAGCATAATTTAACTTGTAAATATTTTAAATATACCTCACTTTTCAGA